AGAAGCAAAGAAAGTAGTCAAGCTATTCAGAAACATTAAGACTATCCCAAAAGAAACATTTACACAAGAATCTCACTTTGCAATCTTCACTAAAATTCTCCTGAGAGACAAAACCTTTTTTAGATCATATATTAAAAATAAACTACTGAAAGAAAATTATCAAATTGAATATAAAGTGTTGGAAACAAAAGCTTATGAAAATTACAAAAAGAATAATGATGTCAATTACATCAGCAGAAGAATCAAGAAAAAAATCAGAGTGATTTTGAACTCATTGCTCTTTGTAGCCTGCCTCAAATTCACCAATCTTAACAAATTCAAATTTTTTGAAATTACTCAAATTTTAAAATATGGATGCAACTATTTTTTAAGAGACAATGACAACTTTATTGACTATATTAAATTGTTAGATCTGATTAAAAAAATGTTATATGAGTCACTTTCAGACCTACTGATTCTATTAGAGCATATCCCTTCTAACATAATTATAAAACTCCCATGTCCACTACTGATTAAAAAAAAATCATTTCTCTCTTTATTTGTATTAATTCTTAGAGTGCATTACAAGTTTTCTCAACTTCCAGACCCATACTTCTTCAAGTTCTCAAAATTACCAAAAGATCCAAAAGACTTGAACAAAGAAACCAACTATCTGTTTTCTATTGTTGAGAGAAAAATCCTCAAAAATCTAGAAACAAGAATAAAGAAATTGATCAGATTTTACAAAGTGCCTGCAAAACTCCCCAAGTCATACTTTAATTTATCACCATCCAAAATCCCTTTCCAGCCTCATACAAACTATTGCCCACACACTGTAGCGGTGTAACGGCGAGTCAGTCGCTAACTCTAGCAGAGATTCGCATAACCGTTACTGGGGTAATAAATGAATGGGTGATTTTAGGTGTGTTTGTATTTGACCGAGTCTTTATTAATTTCTCACTTCTATGTTCACTACTTTACTTGCGCGTCTCTTCTACTCCTCTATACTTTACATGTTATTTATACTTTACATTTGGCTATGGCGGCTTAGACATAATGATACAGCGACATGGCTAAAGCTAAATTACATAATTCTTTTCACAATCCTTCCCGTCCTTCCTTTATTACCTAATTATCACAGCCGACTTACCATTGTCACATCAATTGGTCATGTGACTAACGTCGCGTTCCATTTCTCCCTGTTACAACACCTAGCAACTTACTTTTCATATGATCTACTCACAATAGATACAAGAGAGCTAATTGAAATTCTGAGGAAAGAATACAGTTTCAAAACACTACCACTCAATTACTACAAGTTTAAAAGACTACTATCCTTTTCTCCCAACTTATTGTTAGATAAACTGGATATGATAATTTCAGTACAGTCCAAAGAAAGCACAAAGACTCTTATAAGACATTTGCAAAAAGATTTTAAATTCAATCTGCTTTTAAGCCCTCAATGGGTGGACCTTTCAATCTTATAAACTGGCAAAGAAAAACTTCTGACCAAAATTACTAACATATATATAACTATAGAAATCAAAAACCATATTAACAGATACTCTGAAGACTTTCTAACAATTATCCACAAATTACATAAGAAATATAAATTTTACACAATTCCTGAGGACTGGTTTCAAGTCCCCAAGCTTCTTTTACCCTCCATGAAAGAACTTAACAAAATATATGAAGAAAACTCTCTGAAATCAGATTTTTATTAAAAGATAATGAAAACCTACCCATAACAATTGTCCAACTGTACAAAAAATATACTTTTGAGAGACTCTCTGATGAATACATTGCCTTTGAAGATCTGTTGGAGCCCAGCTTCGATCTTATTCCCTTTATTTACTAAAATGACAAGCTTGTTTAACTCTAGCCACTTGTTACAAAAAAATACAAACCAAAATCATTTAACAAAAAATCAAACTGTATCTATCAATAACCTCTTAAACATATTAATTCTCAACACAGTCAGTTTAAATGACACCACCAAACTAGCAGCTCTCACATATGACCTTGTAAACAAGAGATCAATTCTATGCTGCTTCGAAACAAAAATCCCACATAAAAACCACCTCTCAAAAAAATGCAACAACTGCAATATTATTGCAAGTTCCCCTTCAGACTCCTCTAAAATAGGATCTGTTTAATAATTGGTGAGAACTTAATTAATTACATATTCAAGATATTCACAGAAAACAAATACTGATATATGGTTCACCTCAAATTTAAACCAAAAATTGACTTAGTTATCACTGCCATCTATCTCTCACATGAGTTAGAAGAATATAAAATAGCAACAAAATTACCAATCAAGCATATCAAAAAATTTGAAAATAACATATATCAAATTATATCAGGTGACTTCAATACTTACCTGATAGGCTCCTTAGTGATAAATGCTTCAACATCAAACCTGAAAAGAAGAATCTACAACTATATGCACAACTGGATCAAAAGATATTTGATAAAGAACACGATTTCACCCACTATATTCAGAAAAGTACTTCAAGAATTAACCAGATTTGGTATATCAGCTATTTGGGTTCTAAAGTTTTGAAAGCCAAAACATTCATCTTATATTCTATAATATCTAACCATAAACAAGTCCAAGTTATCTTTGATTGGTTCAAATACAAATCAGAAATACAAGGCTGTCAAATCAAAATCTTCAACTGGAAGGCTGCATTATCATAACAAAAAAAGGATTTCAGAGAAAAAGTCAACCTAAAAATTAATATAGCTAATAAGTGCTCCAGGATAACTTTTAATAAAATTATAATAAGTGCAGCAAGAAACAATCTTTTACTAGTTAAACTCTCAATTTGCAATAACAAACAGCAAAAAACAGGCCAGCATTTCAGAATGCTAAAACAAATTAAAGAATTAATTTTATGTATTAAAAAGAAGAAAAATCTAAACATGCAAGTCACAGAAAACAAAATTCCAAAGAATATTTATATACTTTATCAAAAAGTTTTTAACAATATCCTAGTATTAATTAACATACTTAATCATCTAAGAAACATCTTAATTAAAGAGAGATTGTATCAAATAAAAGAACAGTGGTCAGATCAAATTCACAAAAATATTTTTGACAACTATCTCAAATTTTGGAAAAGATTAAAAAGCTTTATCAAAAAAGTACTAGAGAACCTGAAACCTTCTCTAAATCTAAATATAGTACAAGATAGCAAGAGCAACCTCACAGACGACCTAGAAGAAATCAAAACAATTATAGTTAACTACTTCAAAAAAATCCTTAGTAATAGTAACTTTGATTCAGTAAATTCAGACTAAATCAGTATATACTGTACTTATCACTAAGCAACATATTAGAGAATATATACAATTCAACCTTAACTCAAATTAATATCAAAAAATTAACTAAAGTCACATGTGGATTGCCTCTAAACAAGACTCCAGAAGAATCGGGAATTACATATGAAATAATTAATTCCTTAAGCAAAAACTCAAAAAATACACTATTATGCTTGTATAATAATATTCTAACTAGTGAACAAATTCCTACAAATTGGAAAAAATCATCAATAATTTTGTTATCAAAAAAGTTAGTTTGGTCTTACATAATCTTAAACACTTGACCAATTTTACTTATTAAGTCAACTAGGAAGATATTCACAAAATAATCAATACTAAAGTTTTAATAGTACTCACCAAACACAAAATTTTATTGAAGGCAAGCTTTGCCAGTCTTACAGAGCAAAACACTATGGAATTCTTGTCAATAACCATCTCAACCATAAATGTCACAACTAATCTCAATAAAGAGCTGTGGATTGTTTCACTTGATATCACTAAAGCTTTCAACTCAATAAATCTTAACAGCTTAAAAGCAGCTCTTATAAGAATTAAAATCCCAAACAAGCTAATAAATTTATTTATTAATCTGTTTAACAATAGGGATCTTTTTATAATAACTAATTTTGAAAAAACAACCAACTTTACAATCTTAAAAGATTTAGATCAAGGAGAAACCCTGTCACCTCTACTCTGAACTATCTTCTACAACCCAATGGTAGTAACAATTTTTAATCAACAAAATCATATAATAATCCTATATAATATTCTAATATATATGAATGACGTACTTCAAATAGTTCAGTTAATAAGAAAATTCCAAAAAATTACAGATATCTTTTGCTCCTTTCTTACTCTCAATAATATCAAGTGCAACATTGAAAAAACAATACTAATTACAACTCTAGACAACAATAATAGCAACAAAAACTCATGCTTAAACATTTATGACATCTCAATTTAACTACTGCTGTATAAAATATTACTGTGCTATCTAGGCAACCATTTCTCAGGTGATAGTACTGGCAGCTCATACAAGCAAATCTTTATCAAAAACCTGAATCAAACAATCTCTACGCTAAGCCAACAATCTTGAAACAGACCTATAACAAAACAAGTAATTGATTAAATAATTCCAAGCAAAATTGATTATATACTGCACTTAACAATATTGTTAAGACAACAATTATACTCAATTCAAACAAGAATCAACTGTATAATCAAGTGGAAATTTAGCATTGGAAGAACTATTTCTGACAAAATTATATATTTACAAGCTAGCCTCAAATATATTAACCTTACAAACAAACAAGATCCTACATTAGTCAAACTTCTTATCATCAAAATATGCAATCCAAAGATATCAGAAGCCCTCAGTATAGAAATTAAATCAATACAAGCAAATAGTTATGCCTAATTTGCTGTCTGGAAAAATTCTCAAATAGTTGGATAACCCTAGTGATTGCAAATTTGTTCAAAAACTTTTATATACAAAGATATAGTCAGATTATACAATATATATCATAGCTTGAAAATAAGATAATTAATATACTTATTATATCTTTAAAGATATGCTATTGCCTAAGAATGGATTGAATTTTTTCTAATTTCTCATGACATTTAATTAATCTTCTAAATATTGCTTCATCTGCATAAATATTTAGAAAATTATTCTTTTTTAGTGAAAAATCTCTTCAATATATCTTTGTAGTCTTCAAGATTTCACTATTATTATTTGGCAATTCACTTGGTTCAAGTATAATCATATTTGGAGGTGGAAGCTTATAACCAAGATTTGTCTGCTTTAATATCTTCAAGTCTATTGTTTCAAGATCAAAACCTTGATTATATTCTAATTTATTTCTCTTATTTATATAAAAAACTAATAAATTTTCGAATACTTTATTTAATTTGAAAGCAGCATCTTGCATTATTTGTGAAATATCAAAAAGTTATAAATTAGAGTTTATATTATGTGTCTTCTTAGGCTTTTTATTAACAAACTTAGATAAAATAAATTGAAACATCATTCTTAAAGTAGTGGGCAATATACCTTGAGATATATCATATATGTTTTCAAATTCAATGCTTTTTTTTTTAAAATCAATGTTATCAATTACTACTAAATTAAAAATATTTTTTTTTGTTAATAAGTGCTTTGATAGATTTGTACTTTTCATTTGCATCATGTCTGTTCATATGTCTAATAATCAAATATTTGACCAAGAGATTATGCAATAAGAATATCAATTTTGGTCACCTGAACAAAAATGCCAGTATACTTGAAAGCCACAAGTCTAAATATGGAAATACAAAATTAGCTAGAGCTAATACCAATAAGAAAAGAAGTTTTTTAAATTCTTTTGAATCAAATTTTTTTAAAGATTTGTTTTTTGAAGGTTGTTTTTTATTAGATTCAGTGATTTTATTTTCCAATATTAAAGTAAGCATTAATTCAAAGAAAGACTGTATATTAAGGATTTGGGAAATGTATTAATATAAGTATTAAGATTTTCAGAATATTGTAAATTATTTATGTTTTTTTTCAAATGGTTATGTAATTGCTATAACTTTTGTTTCATTTTTTTATCAATTTTCTTATATTCTTGTTCATCTAATTCTTCATTTTAAAAACTTATAAGGATTTGATTAATTTTCATTATTATTCTTACAATGAAATAACTTAGCATATAAGAAAGCCTGAAATAATTCAGTGTTTCAAATAAAACTATAATTACAAGATCAGAAATTTTGTTTTTATTTATTTTATCTAAGTTTAGAAGAAAAATTACTTGAAATAAAAGTAACATAAGTATATTTTTTTGATACTATGTATCTTTATTTTTTGCAATAATTAAAAGTCAATGTGCTAATAATTCTAGATTCTTTTTGAAATTCTCTCCATGATATCCTTTTGTTATATATAATTGTGCCTGTCATCCACTTTTTGATCTAATATAAAGATGATCTTCCTGTTTATAATAGTTACAACATACATACTGTATGCTTTCAATTTTATCAAATGCATATTCACATATTAAATCATATAGTTCTAATGCACTACAATTGAATTGACCATTACAAGCTATTTGAACATTTCTTCCCATTATTTTTCAAAAATATTTCTATATCCTGAATTTTAAAATAATTTCTGTATTTTTAACACGTGCTATTTATGTTTATGAAAAAACAAAAAAGTTTTTCACAATATAAGTATCTTCTTTGGCAAAGTATACTTTGGCTTGTATCTTTTTTTTGCTTAAACTCTAGATTATAAAGATTGTTTTGGTTATAATTAAAATGATAATTACAAATATCTAATTGTTCAAGTATACTATCTGTTTCAGAAATATCATCTCTATCTACTTGCTATACTCTATAAAGCTGCTATAGCTTTTAAAAGCTATTTGAATTTTCTTACCTTTTAATATATTCATCTGACTTATTAACAATAATGCAATGAATTAAGCCCTTAGTATTCTTTTGTTTAATAACAATATTGGAGTCATTTGTGTTTATTTCTAAATCTATCAAATCTTTGCTATTATCAGATATATGGTCAGTTTCATTAGTATCTATATATTGATTTGTAACTTTCTTCAAATAATTCTTATCTAAAGAAAAGAAAACAAATTCATAATTTTCAATTACTTTCTCAGTAAAAGTCAGATTGATGAGTTCTACAAGAGTTTTTAAAAAGTTTTCTGTTTTGCTAAAGAATATTTCAAAGATTTATTATAAGCAAGTGATAAATTTAAGCTAATTTTATAGCAAGATTATCAAAAAAATTTGATTTATATAATAATGAATTTGTCTAGTAACTGATATAAAAAACAAGTTTATTTAATAAAAATTTTAAAATATATTATTAAAATTTTCTTAAAATAATTGATTTTAGTTATATTACAAAAATAAAAATAATTATAATTATTAAAATTATTTCAATGTATAGATTTGTTAAATAAAAGTTATAATAATAATATAATAATTATTATTATTTTATTAAGTATAAAAAAATATTTAATAATTAACTTAACTTAAAATTTAATCAAACTTTACTAAAAAACATAAATTTTATATTAAATATAAAGTTTTTAAATGTTTTAGAAATTTTTTAAAAATAATTTTATATAATAAAAAAATAAACTAATTTAATAACATTTATTAAATATAATAATAAGTCTTTTACAATTTTTTTATAAATTAAAAATTTTTATTTATTTTTATATTTAATTTTTTAAAAAAATTTTCTATAGTAAAATTTTAATTTCTATCCATATTTTATATATAAATTTATATATAAAGTTTATAATACATTTTTTGAAATTTTTTTTTTGACTTTAAATTAATATTTTCAAATAAATTTATTAATTGAATTATAAAATACATATATATACTATACATATTTAAAATTTTGTTTCAATTAAATTATTATTTATTGAATTATAATAAAAATATCAGTCCAATTATTTTTGTTACACACTGTATTTTGTTATGAATTTTGATTTTGATATATAGTTTAAAAATATAAAAAAAACCTCCATTTTTTTTTTTATAATAGTGACAAATATATTTTCACTAATGAAAATATACTTACGTAAGTGGATTCTCGAAGAAAAATTTGTGACGTCATATTTTTGTCATAACAGATAAGTGAAACCTTCACGTGTATAATAGGCCTATATTACGCGTTTTTATTTTAGATCTGAAGTATATAAGTGGTAGAATTTCTCGTTGCTCTTCCCTACTGAAAGGTCTCTT